ATTTAGGAAAATAGTTCTTCTAATGAGAAGCCCCTATTAATCTAAACGAAAAATATTCTTAATCTGTCCATTTGCCCCCAACTTATTTCCTGTTTCTTACCACTTAATAAGTGGTAAAGTCACCATTTTCACCTGATAATTCAGTACTGAATGCTTAGGTAACAAAGAAAGCACTTAATTTCTCTTTGAAAATTTCTTAGGTTCCAGGTAATTTTAAAAAAAGATTTTTGTTAAAATGAGTATGGCTCTATTGTAAAAGATCCAATTATGAAAAGTTGCAAAGAAGGGTAGATTTGATGTTCACTGACAAGCCTTAAAGATTATATGTAAATGAAAGGCAAAAGAGTGAGAGAGATTTTTGAATAACTATAAAACTCTCTGCTTATCAGGAAAGTAATCCTAGGAAGGTCCTTCCAGCAGATTTTGGGTATTTGTGGCCATCCCCTTTATCAGTACCCATTTATCCAAGAAAAATACAGAAATCCTGAGCTAATACTAGCATGGAAAAGATGTCTCTGGGAGTAACTGAGAAAGAAGCCCTATAAATTTTAATCGTTCTCAATCCTAGCCTTACGTAAGAATCATCTGGGGAATCTTAAAAAATAGTAATGCCTGGGCCTTACTCCAAACTAATTAAAGTTGAATCCAATTATTTTAAAGCTCCCCAGGTAATACTAACATGCAGGTGGGTTAAAAACCACTGCTCTGAACACAAAGCTCAGCTACCCTTCAGCCTGGGTAGGTTTCATCAGCTAGGCGATCACAGCACCAGGGTGAGGGTTGCTATGGTACTCAGCAAGCCAAGGAGAAACGGAACACATGCCGGTGTTGGGTAGCACGACTAGAGCGGGACACAGCTAGAGCAGTGACTCAAAGGGTGGTCCCTGGACCAGCAGTGTCAGCATTACCTGGAAACTTACTAGACATACAAATTATCAGGTCACCGCCCAGACCTACAGAATCAAACACTATGCCAGTGGGGCTCCCCAGTTTGTCCTCCATGTTTGAGAACCACTGGGCTACAGTAGTACTTTTCAGCCATTAGTGTCAATGGGAATCACCTGGGGGATCTGGTCAACTGCAGCTTTAGTCTGGAAGAGGGTCAGAGATTCTATACTTCAAACAAGCTGCCAGGTGATACTGATGCTGCTGGATGGAGGATCATACTTTGAGGAGCAAGAGGCCAGGGATAAAAAAATGGAAGAGGCATGCAGTTACCAGGAGTCACTCTGGTCCTGGCAGTGGTGGTTATGACGTAAGGTTTAGGCTAAACTGAAAGCTGTGTGATCAGATTTGACATCTGGGCTCAGTGTAGGAGTGAGGTTTGTGAGCACTGGTGGAGGCTGATATCCTGTTATAATTAACATAACTTGGAGATCAGGAGCTGCATCTCAAGATTTGGAAAAATTACATCTATCCAATATAGCCACTGTAATCAGCATATCGTTGCTGACATGAGGTGAAAAACACTTGCTGCCATATGCTCTGTCATTTAAGTAATCATTCTATCATGGCTGAAAAGGACTCACTGCAAGATGATTTGTTTCCTGGAAGAGGCAGTTTCTGGAGATACTATGAATTCTTATGAAATGAGGGAGGAGCCCTCATAATTTTTAATGACCTCTTTTGCTATTTAACGATATTTCTATAATCCAAACGTGAGTATGCATTGCCCTGTTTAAATCCTTCAGCAGCTCCTCACTGAAGGAAACTGTCCAGAGTTCTTTACCTGGTTCACAAGGCCCTTGCTGATGTGGACTTATTTTAGCCTCATTTCTTACCAAGCCATCTCCAGTGTCTACCCCATATCCCTTTCTAGCCTAGCAACACTGAACTACTTTTGGTTCTTCAAATGGGCTGGGCTTTCCTTTGCCTCTGGCTGACCCTTTGCCCGTATTATTGCCTTGGCCAGGAATCTATTTCTCTCTTTTAAATCTTGTTGCCCCTTCATTAACTCTCTGGGTCTCACCTGAGGGGCCACCTCCTCTAGGAAACTTTTGCTGATCCGCATATCTGGAATCTCTCTGTAGCAGCTGGTGTTTGCCTGTTCACTTATTTGAATCCCCCACCGAAGAGGTATATTTCACTGTTATTGTAACATCCCCATAGCAGTTACTTGAAAATCACTTGGGGAATAAAATCAATAAATGAAAATTACTGTAGTGGGTGACAGCAGAGCTATTGTTAACAAAAATTAAAAAGTTATCTAAGAATTTTTTAATTTGAACTTGGTTTAGGGCCAGTCATTCCAGTATGAGTGAAATCTGGTACTATATTAAATTCCACTTCTGGAAGTAGAAAACTAGGTGGTTTGAACTAGCTATCCCCCTGAGAACAACTAGAAAAGCTGGAAAAAATATTAAAAACATTTGTTTACAGACATAGGAGCACTCCCAATAAAGTAAGAAATTGAGAAGCCAAGAGCTAGGAGAAGAGGGAAACTCAGAGTGTTAAGTCTGGCATTTGGGACTGTATGTCTGTAAATTCCACAATCAGCAGCAGAGAAGCAAAAAAGCTGTGTGGCACTTCTGACAAACTTACAGGGCTACAGGAACAAAACTGGAGTTCAGGGCCCACTGACGAGGGAAGGGTCCTAGTACACCCTTCAGGCGTGGGTTGGAACCTCAGATACTTATTACCTAGAAGTAAGGTTGAATCATAGCTAAGCCCTCAAAGAAACTGAAGTCCATTTTGAATTATCTCTACCCTGATCTAGGATTGGTGATACCCCTAGCCTAGTCACCTGCCAAAAACCAGCACAAATCCTCTCTGGATGAGAGAATATCATCTAGAGTTTCAACTTGTATCCACACTTTCTCAAACACAGGCATGTGAGAAGATAAAACAAAGACCCCTAAAACCAAGGAAAACAATAGATAACAGAAATAGATCCACAAGGTATCCACAAATAGCTAGGCTCAATTTGTTCAGAGAATTAAACAGTAATTTACAACACATGCTTTTTAAACATAGTAGAGAATTAACACTTATTTCACTATTTTAAATAGTTCTATATTATAGAAAAATTATACAGAGTGTGTTAAAACTAGGACTGTTAGCAGGAGCTCTGTCTCTTGACTGAAATATACACATCTAAAGAATTTCTTTTTTACTCTGAAACAGTACAAAACTGCCACATGAGGAAAGCTACTTGAAAAGAGGCAAATGTTAGACAGGAGTGGTCTTAGAAGCAAAACTCAGCACCTAGAAAAGACTTATTTACATGTACCAGAGCCTCTTAATTTCTTTAACCCAATTTTATTTCTTTTGACCTGGGCTACACTCTAATTCTTGTGTAAATTCTTGAAATTTTCCTGTACATTTTTTTTTTCCTGCTAAGTTTGGTCCTCTGGGCACTGATCAAACGAAATTTACTTGGTCTTTGTATCTTGAAAATATGTGCCTCTGTCTTTATAATTTTGACTCTGATATCAAACTGCTAGTCAGCCAAACAAACTTAACTCAAAAGGAACATTACTCAGCTGCTGAGATGTTATCACTAAACAAAAGGTCAACGATGCCTTTATAAACTACTTATAAACTGCAGACAGGGAAGGGGAATCAACAGTATCACCTTGGAAAATACTGCCATAAAACATATTGCACATCATCTGTAAATGTGTCTAATGGACCATTAGCCATATATTGTACTATCACATAATGATGCACACATATATATATTCAAAAATATAAACATGCACAAACATAAAATATATAATTGTATAATGTATAATAATGTGTAATAAAATACATTATTTTTCCCTTCTCTACATGCCCAACTCCCATGTTATGCAACTTATTCTATGTATTATTAAAATATTCTAATTCAGAACGGATAGCTCTATAAATGACTTTGAAGTAAAGTTGTTGGCTAAATCTACATAAAAATAAAGTAGTAATGAAAGAAGTTTGTGATAAAGCTAAATTACATAAGCCACTAATATTTGTGGAAACAAACTCCTTTTTCTTATGGTTGCAAAATGGAAACATGTTCTGACATCCTGCTAAATCATAAATAACAAAAATCTGAGTGAGCTAAATTTTGAGTCCAAGTGATCTTGTTTTAATTTAGATTCAGGTATGTTTGTCCAATTGTCTTCTAGAAACCACCACCTGGATGCCCCACAGGCATCTAAAACTTAATATATCCAAAATCAAGCTCAGCATTTCTCACTCTAATCTTATCCACCCCGATCTGCTCTCCATCCTGTGTTCTCTACCTAAGTACCAAACACCGTAATGCTTCTAGTCACCAAGACTAAAGCTGGAAACCATTCTGCTGAATGTGGTAGTGATAAGAACACAGCCTCTGAAATCAGACTGCTAATGTTTAAATTCAGCTTCTGCCACTTGTCAGCCATGAGCTGGGGCAAGCTATTTAACCTCACCAACACTTGGGTTTGTCATCTGTAAACCTGCACTTAATACACTGAATTATTAAACAGAGTAACTGAGGTAAGAACAGTTTTTACACTACCACTGATGTCCAATTGATTTGAAGGCCTATTGGTTCTACACCTCAGTGTTTCTTTTGTCTGAGCTCTTCTCCACATTTCTGATGCCTAGAAAATTGTATAGCACACTTACACAATGCCAGTGACAAACCAATTTTTACATGTTCAGGCTCCCTCTTGTAAGCACGCAGGAAAACTTCCTTCCTTAGAAAAGGCATATCTTGTTTTAGCAGTACATTGGTTACAGTTTGAAATAAATCCTGACATTAATTTGGGGTGATACAACAAACCTCAAGAAGTCTTTCTTTAAAGATTTAGAATTACAATTACTATGTACAAGTACCATCTGCAATAGTAAAATATTATAATAAACAGTTCGTAAACTAGGAATATTCAGAGCTCTAATCTAGCGTAACTCATAACCATCATGAAATATACGTATGTATGACAAAGCTTACATTTCATACAGGTTGCATAATCTGAGACAAATATAAAATAATGCTTTAAGATTCCAAACCGAAAGTTTGAGGTAGTTATGATGATTACCTTTTTGTTTTGTTAATGCCATGTGATCTGTCTTTTGTGATCTTTGATTCCGTCTTCATTATGGGGGTAGCGATAGCCTTTTCAAATTCCAACTGGAAATCAAACGTCAGAGGTATCACTGAAATCTTTTTCCTTACTTGACCCTGAAGGTTGTTTTTCTGAAGCAAAGCCAAAATATAACACAGCAGAAAAATGAGCACTTTTCATTTAGGGAAAATCCTGTATAAGAAAGGCAAAATTAATCTCACTTTATATACACCCCTCCCACACACACACAATTTCTGTCGCAGGCAATAATAGACTGAAAATTGGAAGCCTTGTGTACCAAGTCTTCTCCTACTGCCAACTAAATGTTGGCACTTGCCATCTACCTCTACAAGGATTAAATCATGAGCCTCTGCAGCTGCTGACTTTCAACACACCTGGAAAGGAGTTCAGGGTGGAGATCAGGAATGAGGCACTTTGTGCCCTGGGAAAAACTGGCAGAACAGGACTTCAGATAGTTAGACATTTTCAGGAGATTTTATGAGTTCAAATTCTTGCATCTCCCCATATCTAGAAAAGCACTAAAATCATTAACATGACATCTGCTCCTCATGACTAGCAGCAAGCCTCTGCCTCTATGTGTGCCTGACTGCAAGTCCCCCTTTCGCTAAAATCATATATAATACTGACGTCCCCTCTACCTCTTTGGAGCAGTTCCTCAGAGCTGTCTGAGATGCTGTCCCCTGGCTTATAGTCCTCATTTTGCCCCAAATAAAACTTAACTCACAACTCTTACGTTGTGCATTTTTTCTCAGTCAACGCTGTCTATGAAATGAGGGTGTTAGACCAGATGATCATGAAGGCTCCCTCCAAATTCTAAAGTTCAGAATTGAAGAATGACCTATATATTTAGCAAATTTAGCAATATTGATATGGAGAGCTATTGGAACCATAGCGGGCAGGTCTCTCCAACCTGCTTCTCTTCTTGGACGCGCACCCACAGTGAAGCACACCGACATTCATCCAGCATGAGCCAGAAATAGAGTTAAGAAAGCAATCAAAAGAGGACTGAAGAGGAACAAAGGTAGATAAAGAGTGAGTTATGGAGCCAAAAATCTCTAAAAAATTCTCCAAGAGCACAGCACAGAGGAATAAAAAGATGAAAACTTTAAAAGGAAGTCAAAGGATATGGGAACTTCTGCTTCTGCCAGTGAGGGATTAAGTGCTATAGGAATTGCCCTCTGCTGTAAACAATCAGAAAACCAGACAACATATATGAAAACAACTACAATCAGGCATTAGGAAGCAGGCAGAGCAGGACCATGATCCCTGGAAAAAGAGACACAAATAAGGTAAACCCTACAGTAGCCTAAGGTTGTTCTTGGAGGCAGTTTCCAGACTGAGGCACAGGAGGAGGAACTCAACCCAAACCTGGTGTCTCTGACCTTGTTGAGTTTGAGGGACAGACAGTACACCAGCAATAGCAATCACAGCTTTGGGCATTCACCCCAGAGAAATGAAAGCTTACGTTCACACAAAAACCTGTACACAAATATTCATAGCAGCTTTACTTCATCCTCTGTTTTTTAGCAGCTTTATTTTTAAAAGCAAAATACTGCAAACAACCCAAATGTCCTTCAGTGGGTAAGCAGTTGAAACTGTACATCCATTTAATGAAATACCACCCAGCAGTAAAATTTATACATTATTTATCACAAAAAAACTATTGATTCATACAAAAACTTAGGTGGACCTCAAGGGCATCACGCTTAGTGAAAAAGTCAATCTCAGAACTGCATACACTGAACGATTCCATTTATATAACATTCCCAAAATTATAAAACTATGGATATGGAGAACAGATTAGTCATTGCTGGGGATGGAGACAGGGAACTGGGGGGGATGGATACAAATATAAAGAAGTAACATGAGGGAGTACTTTAATAGGGTGGAAGTGTTCTGTGTCTTGACTGTGGTGGTTTACACAAATCTATAATGGGATAAAATTGCACAAAGCTACAGACACAAATAAATATAGGTTAAAAAATGATGGTAACTGAGTGAAGTCTGCAGTATAGTTAACAGTAATATACCAGTGTCAATGTTGGATGTGACTCAGGCTGGCTTTGCTCTTGAACAACAACTATGTAAGATGCACCATTGGGGTTAACTAGGTGAAAGGTACATGGAACTCTTTGTAATTTCTGCAACTTCCTGTGAGTCTACAATTATTTCAAAATAAAAGTTGTTAAAAAAAATTAAAAATTACCAAAATTAAAAATTACCAAAGTGAGTTTTACATTATATCTCATTTTCTCAATAAAACAAGAAATAGAGATAATCCACCTTTGTGAATGTATGCATGTGCATGTGTATTTATGTCATGGATATTTGCAAGCAAGGGTAAATGTATGTATATGTACATATATTAATATTTGAATACCTTTGTAAGAGTACAAAAGATGTGGATGGATGAACATCAACCGCTAAAATTTGTTCACCTCAGTGGAAGGGATTAGAGGGAAGAGGCCAAAGGCTACTATATTTCTTTATGCAACTTTTCTTATGTATAATTTTCTTTATACATATCTATATGTTGTTTAACTTGTTTCCAAATATATTTTTTAATTTTATAACTTAAAATATAAGAAAAGATTTTTAAATGATTATAATTTTTTGAAAATCTCTAGGTGGGGAGGGTATAGCTCAGTGGTAGAGCATGCGTGAGGTCCTGGGTTCAGTCCCTAGTACTTCCACTGAAAAAGTAAATAAATAAATAAATAAATAAATAAATAAATAAATAAACCTAATTACCTCCCCGCTGCAAAAAAAAATTTTTGATTAAAAAAAAAAAAGAATCTCTAGAGAATTTTCTATTAGTAAACTATGCACAGTAACACAAAATGAGAAATCCATGGAAATACTTTTACAAAGGAAGCCTCCAGTAAAGATTAAGAATTATTATTACTAATTGTACCTTAAAATTTTATGTAAAGGGTAATTTCATGAGAAATTTAATAGATTTTATCTCTAATTATATTTTCAGAAGTACATTAGAATTCATTTTAAACAAAAAGTAAAAAAGCAATAAACTTTGGGGTGTCCAAGTCTAACAGGTTTGCTTTAGTTAAGTCATCCCTGATGTTCTATTTCAACATTTTGATAGCTATAACAGGATCAATTTATACCATTTTTCAATATTTCTCTATTTTCTGAATGAAAGGACATAATTATGAAAAATTAAAGAGAAAACAAATTATTACTCAAACATCAGCATTTCATTTTGAGGTTCACAAATATGTTCATTCATGTAAGAGTTCCTCTCTTGTGTCTTCCTTGATTTCTCAAACTCCACTGCTCCTTACATACACCTCATTTACCCACATTGTTATATTATTTTATGTATTTCTGTAACCAAATTAAACTGCTCATCTATGTTAAAAAATCTGGTGCTTCAGAACTGTATTCTTTATTAATATTTTATTTTGAAAATACGTCTCACCTTTTAAAGTTTATTTTCTATGAACTTTATTTCTAATTTGGCTAGCTATACCAAATACTTTCTTCCTTTTAATGAACCAATGAAATCGGTTTTTATGTTTATTAGTATGAACTAATATGTCTATTAGTAAGAACTACAGGAGCAGTCTTATTTACTATTTGACTGCTTCGGATTTTTTTTTTAAGCAGGTTAGATACATCATAACCTAATATAGTAGCTAGCTAGACATTACCTTGTATATTTAACTAACTCTTTATAGTATCCACTTATATAAACGAACTCTCTCAACTAATATAATTATTTGCTTTTTACAAATTAGTTTATGGCTCCATACGAATGTATCATTAAATAAAAAGTAAAAATAATCATTCACATTTGAAATAATAACTTTTTAATGATAAACTGAATTTTAGTTCATATGTTACAAACCTTTGCTCTTATGGCCAAGAATGCCTTTGCTTGCTCATCCAGAATATCTAACTTCTCTAAGATTTTTTCTGCCATTGTCAGTCAGTTAATTCCTATTTTAAAAGGAGGGAAAAAAAGAAGAAATTTTCAAAACAATCAAGATTTAAACATGTAGTTGATTATTTAGGCAAAAGTTAAGAGACTCACCTTTGACATACTGTTTTAGGTAAAGAAAATAACTGTATAGATCGTGGAATAAATCACAGAACTGTAGAGGCACTCAAGTTGTTTCGGTAAGTGCTCATATGATCAGAATTCTTAGATGCATATGGGCCCCAGGAATTTTTAAATGTATGATAAAGAAGAGTTGAAGAAAGTTCAAGATCACCATAATGAGAACCAGACGTGACTCATACCTGAAGCAAGGGCATGTAGCTTGATTTATATCTGTTTTCTTTTTGTTGTGATTTAATTTTAATGGAAGTTAATAAGAAGAGCTCATGTTTATAGAATTAATTACATTCAAATTAAATTGGTCAATGATCCAAGACTGTTAATAAAGCGCTTAGAAGGCAATCAGTCAAGCTGGTTCGGTTTTATAATAGTTCATATTTTCCAGTTAATTAATTTGCTAAAAATTTCATCTGGGGTCAGATGGTCCATGTTAGGTTTGGGGACCTAAATGTTAGCCATCAGAATCTGGGCTAATTTATTTCCATTTTCAGATGAGAAAATTAAGAGCCACAAAGGAACTTACAATGCAATACAAATAGCTAGGGAGAGAGTGGAGGCAAGGATCAGGAATATTAATCCAAAGCTCCCTCTGTTTTATTTATTTTTAAAATTTGAGTAGATATTTATGCATTCAACATATTTTCGCTCAGTGAGTTGAATGGACTCCAGCGGCATTTAAATGTAAAAGTTCACAGAAAGTATTGAATTCATCAACATTCCTAATGAAACACTAAGGTTCTTTCTAGCTCAAAAATTTGCATGCAATGTCTCCCATAATGTATGGTATTCAATCAATCTCACACAGACGCAATAATGCATGAAAAGACAAGAGTTAAGGATCCTATGCCAAAAGCTCGTATTATTTTGTACTTGATTCTTTTAGCTCTATTTCCTACTCTCTTCCTTCACCATTTATTGCCCTGGGTGTGAATTCTTGGTGCTCTGAGAGTGTCTTCCCTTCCCAGCATGCCCTCTGCCATTTTGCTACAACCAAATCCTCTGCTTCCATCCCCTGATGGAGTCCAATGTGACAAAGGACTTCTGTGGGCCCCGGGGCTGCAGGCAGAGAGCCTGCCCTTTTATGAACCACATAACCTCGGGTTGCAGGCTGGAAAGGCAAGATGTAAGACAAGGGTGTTAGTGTGTTGTGAATGCCTTAGACTCTCTGGGTCTCCTACAGGAGTGGAGGGGATGGATTTTGGAAGAGAATCAAGATTACCTAGACACTATTTCAGATCCAGGAATCACCCCTCTTATATACCCTAAAAACAATTAAAGAAATTTTAGTTTCTGTGTCTCCCTTAGACATAATATGAATTCAAGTTTTGGGAAGGATCCTGTATTTCTGACCAAAATTTCTTTTACTGGGGACAAAGATTCCCATTTCTAAATAAGCAACTGAGATGTAAATAGCTAAAGGACCCAGCGCACTGAAGTGAATTTCCCAGTTTGCGGAAGGTGTACATTACATGACGGAACTCAGACGTGCTGCTTGCTGTGAGAGGGGTGAAAAGCAGGCCTTTTAAAAGGGTAAGACATGCTATGCCTTTTATTTTAGAGTCCCTCACCTTCAACATCACAGCAGACATTTTAAGCTGTACCACATCGTCCCATTTTTATACACACACACACACACAAACACACACAGAGCTATAATTTGAAAGAATTCTTATGTTTTTGATTTAAAAATATTTTGCTATGAGTAAGTTATTTGGCTATGATAATGATTTCTGGCAAATCAATGCTCACTTTATGAGTTTTTTGAAGTGAAGAATGCTAAATTTGACACAATGAAATAGAATGTTATTAGTTTTAGTTTTGCAGTTTTATTTTCATATTTTAGAGCCATATTCAAATTTCAGTTTGCAAATATTTTTATAGGTCTTTGGCAATGTGCCAATGGTTCCTAATGAATGCAGGGCTCTGGGAGAAAGAGGAGGTGACAAAGCACTACAGATTAACTTGTGTGCTTTCATCATTATATTAAGGGTACCAAGGACCTGGCTTGTGTCTCTTCAGGTAAATGTTGAAAGCAAAGGGACATCAGGTCTAATATGATGATGCATCCCGATTGCTTTGCCTCAATGAAAACTAACCTTTTAATGCAAAATGCATCAAGACTGCATTAAACGTTCCTCAAAGTGACCTTCCGTGTTTCAAATCTTTCCTGATTCAATCTTTTACATTTTCATGTCTATTTTAAACCAGCATATTGGTTTCATATTTCTGCTTCATATTTCTACTTCTATGGGCATAAATTCTACTTCATTGTTCTATTTCTATGAGCATATATTTTCATTGGATGATAAACATTTCATTTGCCCTCTAGCTACTAACTCTATTACACGAAAGACACTGTGCTGGGTATGCTATCACATTTATTAAGGAAGCTGGCATTTGACAGACATTTTTCCTGTGACTCCCATCTTCTTAGGCAAGACAAATAGTCTCTGCTAGTTCACTAAGAGCTCTTCAACTTCCACTTCTCATACCAAAGTATTATCTGCATCCATTCCCGTCTCACCAGTATTTTAATTTTAATAGAAGTGTTGCCTCTCTCATCTAAAGCTAATCCCTCCCTATATACTACCTCTGGCCTCCTAAAAGATTACTTTCATTTTTATCCCCTCTTTCCTATATCTTTTATCTCTTTTCTTTACCAATTTCCTCTCCTTAGCATGCTCAAGTCTCTTCTATTTAAAAAAAAGAAAAAGAAAAAATGTTCTGAACTTATTAGCTAGCCATTATTCCTTCTTATCTTCCCTTTATTGCCAAATCTCTTAAGACAGTTGTCTAGACTTAGAGTTTCTAATGTCTTATAGCCTTTTTCCTTCTCAGTCTACCATCATTTGACTTCCTCTTAAACTAGTTTTCTAAATCTGCTCTCATAGGTCACCAGGGTCACCATGTTATAAATTAGTGGGCACTTTTCTGCTCTTATTTACCTTATTTGAACGTTTAAAACTTTTGTTAATGCTGATCACTCCTTTCTATGGATCTCCCCTCTCTTGGTTTCTATGACATTAGTCACATCTTATCTTCTCTGAAGATTCCTTGACAGTGTCTTCAACTTGCCTCAGATCACTTCCTAAATATTAGCGTTCCTAAATGCTCAGCTGTCTTTCTTACTATTCCGTATATTCTTCCAGGATGTCCTCCCAAGCCCATGGCTTCATCTACCACCATCTATTTCCAAACAAAATCTCTCTTCTGAGTTGCAAACCTATATGCTTGGCTCTATCCCAATTTCCCACAGGTAGCCTAAATGGAGGTCGAAAAGTAAACCCATTCTTCTGCTCCGTTAGCCAAAAATCTCTTCCAAACTTTATCATCACGCAGGCATCTCTTTACTATCACACAGGTTATTTCATAGGCATCCATCCCATCAACCTAGAATTTGTAGTGGTTCTCAGTCCTAGTTACGCCACAGAATGAACTCAAAAACTTCCAAGAAATACAGATTCCCAGTTGCCGCCCCAGACCTGCTAAGTCAGGATTTACAGAGGTAGAGACCAGAGATCTATTTTTTAAATTCTGATGTTCCCCATATCAAGATTTGATCTCCACTCCCCTGGAAAACTCCCTCTTAGCCACTCCCTAAATATACAACAATCACTTGCTCTTCTCTATGCTATACCATACAAATCTTTTTAGTTTTTCTCGTCTTATCCATTCACATTGCTGTTGCCTCAGTTTAAAATTCCATAACCTGTTGCCTGGGTTACTGCAATAGTTTCAAAATATTTTGCTCCATTCTATTCATTTTATTCTTCACATTTGTCTGAATTATTTTTTTTAAGGAAAATACAATCACATGCCAGCCTGATCACAGCTTCAACCTTCCCCTGCAGCTTTCAGGACAAAGGTCAAGCACCCTGATTTATCATGCAAGGTTCATGGTTTGGCCCCCCTGACTAAGTCTTTAACCTCACGTGCCTCTTCCTCATGTAAACTTGGTATCTGGTCCTAACGAACAACTCGTAGTTCTTGAATGTGTTGTATTTTCCTTTACTTGTTGCTTTGCCTTTGCTGTTCCCTCTGCCCACAATGCTGTTAACTATTCCCTGTATTTCTAAGCCCTATTCATCTCTCAAGACTCAATACAAATAACACCTCTGCTGGGAAGCTTTCCCTGATACACTGTGATTTAGATGTCCAGTGTCTGTGTTCACATGATAGTGTGCGTACACCCCATCCGAGTACTTATCACTCTCTATTAAAGCATTTGATATACTCATTTTATTCCCCCTCTATACTGTTTCTTGAAGGCAGGAACCATGTCTAATTCATCTTTGCATCCCTAATACCTAACAACCTGAATGAATTAATTAACCATCAGCTATAGAGTAAATGGGAAACTGTAAATGCTATGCTAGCTTTTAGCCTGCATTTACACTCATGAGTATGCACAAATCTGACAGAGTCCTGTTGAGGTTCTTCTAGGACAAGCCATAGCATTAAAAGGCACTGCTCTCTCTCCCACCTTCAAACTTGGAAAAGCAGCATAGTATATTGGTTAAGAACATGGACTCTGAAGTCAGAGTGCCTGAGTTTGACTCTTTGGCACTGCTACTTAACCAGCTGTGTGATTGTGGGCTAGCTGCCTAACCTCTCTGTGTTGTCCTATCTGTAAAAAGGAAATAACAGAAGTACCTACTTCATAGGGTTGTTACGAGGTTTAGTTGAGTGAATGTAAGTGATGTGTAAATGATTGATAAATAATAGTAGTAAATATAAGTAATGATACACTTACCAGTTAGGGATAAAATGCGTGAGATTACCTATAAATGCTGCAAAATGCATGCTCCCCATCTGGATATCATTTTGTTCGTCTCCGCCACTCCTGCCACCATGCAATCGCCAATGGTATCCATATGTCTGATGGTCTGCTGGCTTCCTACACAGTATATTTCTTCAATTATACCTA